CAGAAGAGTAAGGGGGGACATGATCACAACCTACAAAATCCTCAGGGGAATCGACCGGGTAAACAAGGATGAACTATTCAACACTGGTGGGACGCGAACAAGGGGACACAGGTGGAAGCTGAGTACCCAAATGAGCCACAGAGACGTTAGAAAGAACTTTTTCAGTGTCAGAGTAGTTAGTAAATGGAATGCATTAGGAAGTGATGTGGTGGAGGCTGACTCCATACATAGTTTCAAATGTAGATATGATAGAGCCCAATAGGCTCAGGAATCTGTACACCAGTTGATTGACGGTTGAGAGGCGGGACCAAAGAGCCAGAGCTCAACCCCCGCAAGCACAATTAGGTGAGTACACACACACACTGTGTGTGTGTGTGTGTGTGTGTGTGTGTGTGTGTGTGTGTGTGTGTGTGTGTGTGTGCAACCCGTCTTAAGACCAAGTCCATTCCTTTCATCGGTCGACCCCAAAGACACAGTCATCAATTTTGACATGCCCTTCATTTAAAATAGGAATTTTGTCAAATATGAATTAACATTTTTATATATTACCATATTATGCATATTTAGGCATAGGTTAGGTTAGGTGTTTAGGTTCTGTTGGCGATTAGTTGTATTTGTAGTACGTGGGTGAAGCATTTTCAGCGTTGTGGTTCGAACAAAAGTCGTCAGCGAAGTACTTGTTCGAGAAGTGTTCGAACGTCATCGGTTGTGAGTTGTGTGTAAACCGTTTTTAATTCATAAACAGGGGGGGGGGGGGTTGGCGGGTGCATGGAATGGACTTTGGCCGTTGTTTATGAAGACAGGCTGAGTGTGGGAGATCATGCCGCAGTTCCTGTTCACAGAGTTTGCACCTGGAGTGCTCAGAATTGGGAGATCCGTCACCTGTAGCCACCTGCCACAGGTAACGGTAGCCACCTGCCACAGGTAACGGTAGCCACCTGCCACAGGTAACGGTAGCCACCTGCCACACGTAGCCACGGTAACGCCACCTGCCACAGTAACGGTAACGGTAGCCACCTGCCACAGGTAACGGTGGCCACCTGTAGCCACCTGCCACAGGTAACGGTAGCCACCTGCCACAGGTAACGCCACCTGCCACAGGTAACGGTAGCCACAGGTAACGGTGCCACCTGCCACAGGTAACGGTGGCCACCTGCCACAGGTAACGGTGGCCACCTGTAGCCACCTGCCACAGGTAACGGTGGCCACCTGTAGCCACCTGCCACAGGTAACGGTGGCCACCTGTAGCCACCTGCCACAGGTAACGGTAGCCACCTGCCACAGGTAACGGTGCCTGCCACAGGTAACGGTAGCCACCTGCCACAGGTAACGGTAACCCAACCTGATCCTGGCAACCACTGTGTCACACAGTCTGGTGGATGTTTTGTGCTGCCCATAGATGGCCGCAAGGGTTCAACATAGGGCGATGCAACTCTATGGACTCGCCTCCGACGCTTTCACCTATATTTGCTCTCACCTGGGGTACATTACCTGATACCCGTTGACGATCTTCATAGTGCTATTACTACAACAGCCTGCCTGGAACTTACGTTTCCTGGGGCCAGATTCACGAAGCAGTTACGCAAGCACTTACGAACGTGTACATCTTTCCTCAATCTTTGACGACTTTGGTTACATTTATTAAACAGTTTAAAAGCATGAAAACGTCCCAATCAACTGTTGTTATTGTTATAAACAGCCTCCTGGTGTTTCATAGCTCATTAACTGTTTAATAATTGTAAACAAAGCCACCAAAGACTGAGAAAAGATGTACAGGTTCGGAAGTGCTTGGGGTAACTGCGTCGTGAATCTGGTCCCCTGGTTATTACCTGGTCTACGATACTGTGAGTTCGCAGGTCCACATAGCCGCGGCACCCTGTAGGCTTTTTAATTAAGTACCGCCTGCTGGACCAAACTCTTAACAAGTCAAGCCTGGCCTCGGGCCGGGCTTGGGGAGTAGAAGAACTCCCAGAACCCCATCAACCAGGTACCTCCAACAGAGACGTGTCTAGTTCTGTCTTGAAAGTTTCCACTGTTGGTCCAGCAATGTTTCTTCATTTTTGGCAGGAGGTTGAAGAGTCGCGCGCCTCTGATATTTACACGGTGTTCTCTAATTGGCCCTGTCGTCCCCCCCGATTTTGGTTAAGATATATTTTGTACCATACGCAGGCGAGGAGTCACAATAACGTGGCTGAAGTATGTTGACCAGACCACACACTAGAAGGTGAAGGGACGACGACGTTTCGGTCCGTCCTGGACCATTCTCAAGTCGATGGTATTTTGTACCATACGTTTCTACTATATCTCTTGTCCATGCTCTTGGACTGATAGAAGGAAGGCTTTGCAGTTCATGTTTATAACACAGGTGGGTAGAGGAACAGACGATTGGAGACACCTTTTAACAGACTAAGAGCTTTCCCTTCCGATAGGTGATGGTAAACCCTATACCCACTTACCCCGGTACACCCCGCGCCAGTCGTGTGTCAACCAGGTACCCCGGTCACTGCTGGGTGAACAGAGGTTAAGAATTGGCGCCTCCCTCCCTTTAGTCTAAGCCTAACCGACCAGGATATGCTCCTTCTTGTAAGGAGAGTGTTCGATTCCCGATGGCCCGAGTGGTTGCCAGCAACTACATATATTCCAGTCAGTCGTCCTCACATCCCTACCAGCCACTACATCGCCACACTGGCTTAGCGTCTCCTCCTAATTACCGTACCATCTCTCTCCAATACGTTGAAATAGTATTTTACAGGTTTGGAACTGGACCTTGCAGTATTGAAGTTGTAGTAGGCATTCATCAGTCTCAGGAGACTATGGAGTTTCCGGGGAAGAAGCTGTTACCCATGCAGCAGGTCCTCCCCTACCCTCCCCCTCTCCAGAAATTGTACACGTGTATATTACAACATGTCTGTACCCTGGGCCACGGGAGTACAGTGTGAATGCTTTCAGGCGGCTTGAGTACTACTTTATGTGTTTCATTGAGCCTCAGGAGACATTAAAGCTTGCGAGGGGGGGGGGGGAGGGGGAGAATATTCCATACGAAATTGTACCAGAGCTTAGAAAGGCGGCTGGGGTTGGGGGGGGGGTCGGGGGAGGGGGGGGATGTGACATTGGATTGCAAGGCTTGCATTGACCATCGTATTATTGGCTTTTATATTTGCTTTGCTGTTGTTCATTTAAATTTAAAATTTTCTTATATATGATTATTGCAAGATTTTTTTTTTGTCTTGGCTGTTTTCCTCTTTTGTGTAGAAGTGGCTGTGTTGGTTGGATGAAATAGGTCTATAACCCTTCAATGTCATACCTGATCCAGCGAGCTGTGGTTCATATGTGAGATGTATCGATGACCCCCCCCCCCCCCGTGGCCTGGTCAGAGGGGGGGGCACTGGGCCCCTGAACTAATAACAGACACAACAGGAAGGAAAAATTGGTATAATCCTTCACCATTCTCTCTACCCTTCACTATTCTCTCTACCCTTCACTATTCTCTCTACCCTTCACTATTCTCTCTACCCTTCACTATTCTCTCTACCCTTCACTATTCTCTCTACCCTTCACCATTCTCTACCCTTCACCATTCTCTCTACCCTTCACCACTTGTCCCTGGTAACCATTTTCCCTAAACACTGTCTGCTTGATACCTGGTTGATGGGGTTCTGGGAGTTGTTCTACTCCCCAAGCCCGGCCCGAGGCCAGGGCAGGCTTGACTTGTGAGAATTTGGTCCACCAGGCTGTTGCTTGGAGCGGCCCGCAGGCCAACCACAGCCCGGTTGGTCCTGCACTTCTTAGATAAAACAATCTAGTTTTCTATTGAAGATGTCCACGGTTGTTCCGGCAATGTTTCTTATGCTTGCTGGGAGGATGTTGAACAACCGCGGACCTCTGATGTTTATACAGTGTTCTCTGATTGTGCCTATGGCACCTCTGCTCTTCACTGGTTCTATTCTGCATTTTCTTCCATATCGTTCACTCCAGTACGTTGTTATTTTACTGTGTAGATTTGGGACCTGGCCCTCCAGTATCTTCCATATGTATATTATTTGGTATCTCTCTCGTCTCCTTTCTAGTGAGTGCATTTGGAGAGTTTTGAGACGATCCCAATAATTAAGGTGCTTTATCGCGTCTATGCGTGCCGTATATGTTCTCTGTATTCCCTCTATTTCAGCAACCTCTCCTGCTCTGAAGGGGGAAGTGAGTACTGAGCAGTACTCAAGTCGGGACAACACAAGTGACTTGAAGAGTACAACCATTGTGATGGGATCCCTGGATTTGAAAGTTCTCGTAATCCATCCGATCATTTTTCTGGCTGACGCAATATTTGCTTGGTTATGCTCCCTAAACGTTAGGTCGTCAGACATCATTATTCCCAAATCCTTTGCATGCTGCGTTCCTATTATGGGCAGATTCGATTGTGTTTTGTATCCTGTATTATGTTTAAGGTCCTCATTTTTGCCGTACCTGTTAAAAATCATGTTATTTTCTGCTGCTCAACCGAAAACTTTGTTAATATCTGGTTGAAGTTTTTCAATGTCTTCAGCAGAGGTAATTTTCATGCTGATTTTTGTATCATCTGCAAAGGATGACACGAAGCTGTGACTTGTATTTTTGTCTATATCTGATATGAGAATAAGGAAAAGCAGTGGTGCAAGGACTGTACCTTGAGGTAAAGAGCTTTTAACTGCGCTTGGACTCGATTTTTTATGGTTGACTGTTACTCTCTGTGTTCTGTTCGACAGAAAGTTGAGTGTCCAACGTCCTGGATACTCAACTCCGACTCCTGTCTTTGTTAATAAATAAACTACACACAAGATAAAACTTAACATTTAATTCTCATGTATACATTAATATGCTGGATGAGAGAGAACGTGGACTCTAGTGTTTAGTATGGTAAACTATATTAATTTTCAGTGTAGGGATGTACTTAGGGTGTGATGCATTGATTGTTGTCTCGTTTTTGTTTTGTTTGCGTTGCTGACATGTTGTTGTTGTTGTTGTTGCAGGGAAGAGTGTTGTGTACGGGGGCGTGCACGCCTCTGTGAGCGGCCCCCACTGTCTGGAGCACCGCGCCCCCACCCCTACCTCAACCCCCTCCACGCTACCCTCCTCCACCCTCACCGGCGGCAGTAGTGCGGGGGGCACGCCCACGGCCGCCACCACCACCCCCACCACCACCACCAGCAGCAGCAGCAGAGTGTGGGTGGTGAGCAGCAGCAGCACCAGCAGCAGCAGCAGCAGCAGTAGCGGCGGCGGCGGCGGCGGCGGCGGGGGAGGCAGCAAGACCTCACAGTTCTCCCTCACCTCGCTGAAGGCCGCCTGGAGGAACCTCACCAGTCTCGGGGTGGGGTCTTCGCGCCTCCCCCACCTGGAGAGGGTCGACGTGGGGGTCAGCGAACCCCACGACTACCGCTACACCCACTTCCCCAACAAGCGGCACCACAAGGACACTTCCTTCGACGAAACCCACATCCACCTCACCCCCACCTCTCGCACCTACACCCACCCGCACCGGAGCCCCGTGCCGCCCCCGCCCCACGCCCACACCCCGCCCCCACGCCCGCAGGTGCCCGAGGCCTCCCTAACCCTCGCCAAGTGCCTTAGGAAACACAGGGAGAAGCAGCAGGCCCGCGCTCTCACCCGCAAGTCCAAGTCGGACAATGCACTCCAAAAGATCGGTGTACACTTGAAGTCACACTCGGACCAGAACCTGCACAAGGTGTGGCTGAGCAGTGTCAACAGCAGCATCAGCTGCAGCAGTGCCAGCAGCAAGAGCAACTCGGTGTTCAGTACCGTGCAGCTGTCGGGCGGGAGCGGCGACAGCTGCGGCAGTAGCGGCAGCAGCAGCTGCTGCAGGAGAGGCGCGCACCACCGCTCCAAGTCCCTAGAGCGGCACCAGGGCCTCCGCATCCAGCCGGTGGCGCCCCTCACGCACCACCGCCACACGCGCTCCCTCGAGAGGAACCACAAGTTCAGGGTCGACCTCAGGTCTCTCTACCCCAGTAAGGACGAGCCCCCGGAGCACCTGGCGCCCCCGCCGCCCAGCCTGACGCCCACGCACGTGCCGTGGGCTCCGGATGCCGTGGAGGGCGTGAGCGTGCAGCAGCAGCAAGGGCAGCAGGCGCAGCAGGCGCAGCAGCAGCAGGCGCAGCAGCAGCAGCAGGGGTGGCCAGGCGGCATGGAGGGCGGACACGCGGGCGGCGGCGGCGGCTCCTTCATCAACAAGCCGGCCCGAGGCTGGCTACACCCTGACCACCAGCTGGCGGACGAGGGCATCTGCTACGGTGTCCGGGTATGTATACTGCCTCTAGTATGGTGTCAGGGTATGTATACCGCCTCTAGTATGGTGTCCGGGTATGTATACCGCCTCTAGTATGGTGTCCGGGTATGTATACCGCCTCTAGTATGGTGTCCGGGTATGTATACTGCCTCTAGTATGGTGTCAGGGTATGTATACCGCCTCTAGTATGGTGTCCGGGTATGTATACCGCCTCTAGTATGGTGTCCGGTATGTATGTATACCGCCTCTAGTATGGTGTCCGGGTATGTATACTGCCTCTAGTATGGTGTCAGGGTATGTATACCGCCTCTAGTATGGTGTCCGGGTATGTATACCGCCTCTAGTATGGTGTCCGGGTATGTATACTGCCTCTAGTATGGTGTCCGGGTATGTATACTGCCTCTAGTATGGTGTCCGGGTATGTATACTGCCTCTAGTATGGTGTCCGGGTATGTATACTGCCTCTAGTATGGTGTCCGGGTATGTATACCGCCTTTAGTATGGTGTCAGGGTATGTATACTGCCTCTAGTATGGTGTCCGGGTATGTATACTGCCTCTAGTATGGTGTCCGGGTATGTATACTGCCTCTAGTATGGTGTCCGGGTATGTATACTGCCTCTAGTATGGTGTCCGGGTATGTATACCGCCTCTAGTATGGTGTCAGGGTATGTATACCGCCTCTAGTATGGTGTCAGGGTATGTATACCGCCTCTAGTATGGTGTCAGGGTATGTATACCGCCTCTAGTATGGTGTCAGGGTATGTATACCACATCAAGTATGGTGTCAGGGTATGTATACCACATTAAGTATGGTGTCAGGGTATGTATACCGCCTCTCATTAGTTTAGTGTCTGGTGTATAATTGGTACAAGTCTAACCAACGTTTGAAACAATCCAGCGACTATTTCCAAACAAACATTTACCCGGCCTTTTCTGAATCTAAAATTTATACATAATATTTATTACGAAAATTATGTTGCTAAGCTCACGGGATTGCAAATATATTTATAATAATAATTAGCTGATGCGTTATCGATGTGTACTGGAAGCGAAAGTTACCGGTAATAAGCAATTGGCATAGAGTGAGGCGCCAGGGGTTACCTCGAGGTGATTTAAATTGAGGTGATTTTGGGGCTTAGCGACTCCGCGGCCCGGCCGTCGACCAGGCCGCCTCCGGTTGCTTCCGTCGGTGGGAGAAATCATCCGATTTCCTCAGACAGCTCCCGCCCGCCTCAATCTGGGCAGCCCCCAGTCAGTAAGGTGCTGTCCCGCCACGGTCCGCCTGCCCCCAGTCAGTAAGGTGCTGTCCCGCCACGGTCCGCCTGCCCCCAGTCAGTAAGGTGCTGTCCCGCCACGGTCCGCCTGCCCCCAGTCAGTAAGGTGCTGTCCCGCCACGGTCCGCCTGCCCCAACAACCAACAAGCGGATCGTCAACCATGCACCAGGCAAAAGAAAACAAACACAGATCCACCCGGAATGTAAGGACCATGACAATGTAAGGACCATGACAATGTAAGGACCATGACAATGTAAGGACCATGACACCGGGTCTCTTGGAAGATCTACTGGAAGTGAACGACGCCCGCAAGACAGCTGTGATCAACAATGAACTGCGCAGGCTCCAGATAGACATAGTCGCCCTGCAGGAGACACGTCTGCCCGCAACCAGCAGCATACGGGAGAAGGACTTTACCTTCTTCTGGCAGGGCAAACCTCTAGAAGAGGTAAGGGAGCATGGCGTTGGCTTTGCCATCAGGAACAGGTTGTTAGGGGTCCATAGTACCTCCCACGGAGGGGTCTGCAAGGATCATCAAACGTCAGCTTCATACAGCAGTAGGAATGGTCAGCCTCATCAACGCCTATGCACCAACACTGACCTCCTCTACCGAAGCGAAGGACGAGTTCTATGATGACCTCGGCCTAACTCTCAGAGACATACCTCAACAAGAGCCAGTCTTCCTCCTGGGAGACTTTAATGCGAGAGTTGGTTCTGATCACAGCTCTTGGCCTTCCTGCCTGGGCCAGTTTGGATTTGGGAAGATGAATGAGAATAGGCAGCGCCTCCTGGAGTTCTCTGTTATCATGATCTCGGGGTCACCAATTCCTTCTTCGACATCAAGCCCTAGCACAAGGTTTCCTGGAGACACCCCAGGTCTAAGCACCAACTCGACCTGGTGCTTACGGGGCATAGCAATCTGGGAAGCGTCAAACTGACCCACAGCTTCCAGAGCGCAGAGTGTGCAACTGACCACTCTCTCTCCTCGTTTGCAGAGTAAAGATGCAACCCCGGAAAATCCACAGAGCAAAGAAGGAGGGAAGATCACTCATTAACGTAAACAAGACCCGTGATCTTCACAAAGTAGAGGAGTTAACTGCTTCGTTGGAAAACACCCTTCCTGGACCATCTTTTCTGGCCTAGCCTCAGGCCTGGTTTAGGAGTAGAAGAACTCCCAGAAACGCATCAAGCAGGTATCACCCTGCGATAGCACAAGTGAGAGGTGGGTCACACCTCAGGGGGCACCATTTTCAACACTGCCATGTCCACCTTCGGTAAAAGCCAGTACAAGTCAGCAGACTAGCTCGAGGCCAGTGCAGAAAAACTGTTACCTCTCATAGAGGAAAAGAGATGACTCTTTGAGCTTACAAGAACCTGCCCTCAGAAAGGAACCTACAGCCCTTTGTACTGCCCGCAGTAAAGTTCAACAAGCTGCAAGGCACTATGCTAACAATTACTGGCTCCGACTCTGTTCCAGCATCCAGACCGCGGCCACCGTCAGCAACATAAGAGGCATGTACGAAGGGATCAAATAGGCAACTGGCTCTACACAAAATAGGACGGTTCCTCTAAAGTCAGCCACCGGAGAGATCATTAAAGACCGTGATCAACAGATGAATCGCTGAGTGGAACATTCCTCCGAACTCTACTCCAGAGAGAACTTGGTCAGTGTAGAGGCCCTGGATTTAATCAAGTGCCTGCCCATCATGGAAGAACTTGACCTTGAACTGACTGCGGAGGAAGTTGAGAAAGCACTGGATTCACTTTCCTCAGAGAAGGCCTCAGGAGATGACGGGATTCCGCCTGAAGTTCTCAAGTGCGCTCGAGGAACACCTAAAGCTGAGCTTCATGAACTTTTGTGCCAGTGCTGGTGGGAGGGCTCGGTGCCACAAGACATGAGAGATGTGAACATCATCACTCTCTACAAAAATAAAGGTGATAGAAGCGATTGCAACAACTACCGCGGCATCTCCCTCCTCGGTGTCGTTGGCAAACTCTTCGCCAGGGTTGTCTTGGTCAGGCTCCAGCTTCATACAGCTTCAAGAAAAGTGCAGGGAGCAGAGAAAACCCCTGTACATCGCCTTCATTGACCTTACAAAGGCCTTCGAACTCGTGAGCAGGGACGGACTCTTCAAGATGATGGCCAAAATTGGCTGTCCACCCACCCTACTCAGCATGATACAATCGTTCCACAAGAACATAAAGGGAACAGTCGTGTACGACGGCTCAACTTCTGAACCATTCAACATCAACTGTTGTGTTAAACAGGAATGCGTTCTAGCTCCAACCCTGTTCGGCATCTTCGCGATCCTAATCAAGCATGCCTTTGGAACAACTGCAGAGGGCATCTATCCTTACAAGATCTGGTGGAAAGCTCATCAATCTTTCCAGACTCCAAGCAAAGACGAAAGTACAGATGAGAATTGTCAGAGACATCCTTCTTGCCAACGATGCAGCGATCACTACACACACAGCAGAAGGGCTGCAACAGCTACTCAACCCCTTTGCCATAGTCTGCTCTGTATTCAGCCTGACAATCAACCTGAAGAAGACACAGGTGATGGGACAAGATCTCAATGATGTATCCTGTATAAACCTCACAGACTGTGTGCTGGAGGCAGTCCACAAGTTTGTGTACCTGGGCTCCACAATCTCAGACACCCTTTCCCCTTGATACTGAGCTCAACTATGGCATATCAGGAAGGCTGCAACAACACTAGCCAGGCTCACAAAGTACGTTTTGGCAAATGTCAGTGTCAAATGACAGTGCACACCAAGGCACAAGTCTACAAAGCAGTGAAGTGAGTATTCTTCTCTACGGCTTGGAATCCTGGACCCTGTGTTCTTGCCAGGAAAGATGGCTCAATACCTTTCACGTGAGGAACCTGAGACGCATCCTTGACATCACGTGGAAAGACCACGTCACCAACAACGCAGTGCTCGAGAGAACAGGAATCCCTTCAATGTTCACTCTCTTGAAGCCGAGATGCATACGATGGCTGGGACATGTCACACGCATGGAAGATGGCCACATACTGAAGGACCTCTTGTATGGAGAACTGGCATCAGGAAAGAGACCCACCAGAAGACCCCAGCTGCATTTGCAAAGATGCCTGCAAACGCGACCTCAAGCAGGTGAACATCGACATCAACACTCGGGAAGCAGCAGCTGCGTACAGATCTGCCTGGAAATGTAAAGTTTAGAAGGGACTCCAGAAATTCGAAGGCGAAATTAAGAGGCAGGCGGAGGAAAAGAAACCTCAGAGGAAGTCTCGACCGCTGACAGACGCAACCGCTGACAGACGCAACCGGTTCGGCATTTATCTGCACTCTAGTACATATACCGACGTACAACGCAATTAGACACTAGACATCGGTACTATTGAATTTAGACAAACCGGAAAAGAGTTTGCATTTGTTGCAAAGACAAACTAACTTAACCTTCCTAGGCCTAGTACATGATATCTTAGGCTTAATATAGTACATATGTGTGCTATACTAGGTCTAGAAATATTTAAGATTGTATTTAGCTTCATTTTTCAGACTTTATAAGGTAAATAGTACCCATTTCTACTATCTAATTGCTTAGAACGTTAGTCTTTGTACTATGGTGCACATAGTTTCAGAAACTACTATCCAAACAGGAGGATGGGTTGATATATAACTATGATTTCACCTTCACTAATATTGATTATAGAGCCAGCACTAACAGATAATAATAATAGTTTCCATGTTA